TTGATCGTGCCCAAGGACAATCACATGCAGAAGATGAACCCGATCGGCGGAAACACATCTCCCAGGCAGACCCCAACTACCTGATTCGCCGGGAGCACACCATAGTTGCTTTGGGTCCACTGGAGGTAGGGTCGAGCGATGAACACTCCCTCCTGGGCACCTGGATGGCTCATCTGATGCCTGTCGCTGCTCTTTCAGTCGATGGGTACTTCAACGACGACGCGGTCCCAGCCTGGTACGACAATGTCGTTGACAACGGACGCTTTCTACAGGAGCGAGGGGCGGACGAGACAGAAATCTGGACTTCGGTGCAAACAGCTGTCGCATCCTATAACGATGCTTCCTTCCAAGCAGAAACGGCAAGTTTGGTGACTGGCATCTGGCGGGCACTCCAGGAGAACCTCGACCAGACCCAATGGGCCAACGATGTCACCACAGTGCAACTGGGCACACCCACGGGGCAGGAGCTGGAGGAGTACGCTCAATGGGCCGTGAGGGTTATTCGTGACTGGTGGCACTGGCGCCGGTGCCCTGTTGTGAAGTTCTTTTTCCCGAGCCGCTTCATATTCCACCAACTCACGTTCTCGCAGTAGAGCGTCTTCCTGTGAAAGTAGCTCCTGTTCAGCTTGCTGTTGGTCTCGGTCCTCCCTCCACTGGTGTTCACTGAGCTCGTCGTGCAGCAGCTGCTCCAAGTCGCGATCCAAAATCCCTGATGCCGAGGTCGTCTGAGTGTCGATGGTGATAGGGGTGGGTGGCAACTGGTAGTTCTGGATGAAAGCCCCGATCTCGTTCTGCCACAGTAGCAGCCAGTTCTGATCCGCCGTTCCCACCGCTTCTCCGGCGTTCTCCTCCGACCGGAGAGAGACCAACAGGGCCTCCAGTTGTTCTCTCCAGGGCCCTGCTGTGTGCCCCGGCTGGAGGACTGGGAGTCCGAGTTGTAGAAGTTGAAGGTTGGCCCATCTCACCTGCCGGGTTTGTGCGAGGAGCTCTTTTTGAAGTCTGACCATTGCCCTGGCCCATCTTCCTTCTCTGGTATCCTGGCCATCGGTGAGGAAGAATGTCTGCATGAGCACCTCCTCGTCTTCTTCCACCGCCACAAGAACTTCATCCGACCCTTCTGTTCGAGCGATCGCTTCAGCAGTCTGTAGGGTCTGACTCAGCTCACTCATGAGATAACGTGGCACCGTGAAGAGTGCACAGGTGCTCACCATTCGGTTGTGTGGGCTCATCGCCTCATGTCGTGCACTGACAGCCTGCAGCATGCGCCTGGGGAGGAAATGCTCAGGGATCCTCCAGTTGCCATGGAGCTCCGGACCAAACGTGGTGCTGTTGAAGAGCATATGTCTCCAGAGGTGCACTGCTGTGTCAGAACTCATCGGCACGGACATGTTCGGCAAGGCGGTTCCTCGGGCCATTGGCATAGGCCCCTGCGAGCTCGATGCTGGTTCACCTCCTCGTTCTCTCGTGGTCCGCGTGGTAGGAGTGGCAGGTGCTCGACTAGGGCATCCACGTTCCATTGCTTGTCGCCCTCCATGTCGATTTGTGTCCCTGGCCCTAGACCCTGTCCCTGACCCTGTGGTTCCTTGGTGTCCTCGATCAGTGTGCCGTCGTGGAGTCCTCGAATCCCTGATTCGACGTCGTCCATATCTGTATCTCTCTCTGTCAGACATAAGGCTGACAGCATCATCCGACTGTGGTGGTGGCGGGACTTGCCGGTCTCGTTGGTAGCAAGCATACAGGATCGACTCTGCTTCCCCAGCCCAATCCCAGAAGTCAGATGGCGTGGTATCACGTTCTTCGCCTGCACTATCTGGAATCCATAGACTCAAGGTGCGAAGTGGTCCGACCGCCCAGTTGGTGTAGTCTGGCTCGTTGCGGTTGTGCAGCTGGTGGCGCAGCATCCGAACCACCAAACCGACTGCTCTGCCTCTGCGGAGCCAGTCCCCCAGCTGATCCTGGAGTTCTTCCCAGCGCGCAATCCGGTTTCGGGGTAGCTGAAATAGGACCGATTCGTCACCATCTTGTCCTGCAGGTGGTGCTCGATGTCGCTGTGGGATATCTCTGACTCGGTGCTGGCGTTGGGGACTCCTGGATCGGCTAAGTTGCCGACGTTCTTGGTCCTCATCCCAGTAGTACGATGGCGGGAGCGAGTTCGCAACCAACCCCAACTCATCTAACTGACGTTCTTGTGCCCTGTGCCGCATTGAAGGGGGACCAGCTGAAAAGGGCTTTGACTTCGGGTAACCACACAGAACCTCCCAAAAGACGATGTGTGTTGACCGTCGAGGCCTCCTCCAGCAGCTCTGATCCTCCGAGACTGCTTCACACGATCCAGATGGAAGTGCCCAACAACGGCTCCACACTCACTCTCAGCCTTCGAGCCACCATGGAGCCGGACCCGGAGAATATCTCGACGGTGCCGGCATGCAGTCCTCCTGCTGCAGTGAGTACGGAACCTACAGGAGAAGTGAAAGGGGCAGCTTCAGGGCACAACGTGGTACAACCGCTGCTGGACTTTGCCGAGTACGAGAAGGTTTATCGGGAATGGAGCGCTGGCAACATGGCCTTGGAAGCGGTGGCTGCACAATATGGGGAAATGGTCGCGGACCTGATTCAAGCACAGCGGGCCGTTGCGGAGGCGGAAGATGAGTCTTTAGCACGGCAAGACAATGCAGTAGTGGAGCAGGAGACGGCTATTGATCCGGGCACCTTCCCGCTGGACCTCGAGGATGATACTGACGATGGAAGGAATGCACCGATGACGGGATCTCATGTTCCGGCCCCAACATCGGGCTTGATGGTACCAGGTGCACCGCTTCCCACCTTTGCTACCTTCGAATCCATCTATGGACAATGGAAACGAGGAGAAAGAAGCAATGAGGACATAATGAAATCATTCGGACCTCGATGGTTGGCACTCTACCGTCAGTGGCGAGTTTGGGGGCTTGATGCTATCTGGGACAGATTGGAGGGCATCCTTGACATGGACACTGGGCACAGGGATGGCTCAGATACCTCACCAAAGGTCAATGAAGCACACCATGAAGGAGATCTCAATACCCGAGTGCCGTTCCAGGTGGTGAAGGTGGTTCAACAGCGATGGGCTATGGGGCTGATCTCCAACGATACGATTCGGGAGATCTATGGCTCTCAATGGTTGGATATGTTCAGGTTGTGGTATGCGCAAGGTGTGGAGCAATGCCAGGTGATGTACCCAGGTTTGGTGAGCTGGCAAGAGACCGAACAACAAGATGATCAGCCTAGGCATGAGAAAGGGCCAACGGGCAGTTCAGACAAGCCGGAAGGGAACGAAGGGCAGAATCCTTAATGGTGCGCTGATGACTACAAGCAGTGAACTGTGGCAAGGGGTGTAGGCCTTCCTCAACTGAGGATTCCAATCAACCAGACGGGCGGGAGGAAAAAGGCGTTCAAAAAAAAAACCTTAAGGAGTGAATACCCAAGCCGAAAAACAACCTTTTATTCCTAAACACGAAAACCCTGAGGAGTAAATCGCGCAGGAGCCTTTGGCCAAAGACGAAAACCCTAAGTGTCTAGCTGTCCGGGCCTGTCCGGGCTTGTCGGGCTTTCCGGGCTGGTATCCGGTTGTCCGGTTTGGGGCTGTCCGGGCCTCCGCCCCTAACCTGTCTGGGCCGGTTGGGTGTCTGGGTGTCTGCGGGCTGTCCGGGCCACCTTTTCCTCAAAACCCCCCCAAGGTCCGGCCCGTCCGGGCCTGTCCGGGCCACCTTTTCCCGAAGACGGCAAGCCCAAGGAGTGAATCCAACAGGAAACTTGAACCCAAGACGATAAGATAAGCCCGAAGGAGTGAGTGCCCAAGATGAAAACCGTAAGGAGTGAATTCAAGCGTTTTTTTATCAAAGCCGAACACGGTAAACCGACAAAGCAGACGAGCAACTTATGGCAACGTAACGTATCCTTTTCCAAAAGACTCTTCCGCTTATGCTTTCGACTTCGGGCGCCTTGTCCCGCCAGGCTGCTATCCGTGCGCGCATGAGAGCATCACTGTACATACTCAAAGCAAGCAAAAGCCATTTCTCGACCAGCCACAAGAGGAGCCGGGAGTTGAATCTGGACGCATGACAGGCGTCCCCACATGTCTTGTTCGTGCAACGGATGGTGCCAGAACTGTTCCGCACATTGCGACTGCAAAGATGAAGAGGGACGAGGCTTGGATGCCCCCGCAAACGAAGTTGCCAATCTGCGGAATTGGGAATCCACTGTCGTTGTCTCTAACTGGCAGTGTGCCGCAGCCCTCGTACGAACTTACATATCCACACCCGACAGTCCTACCCTAAGTCAATTTGCGGTAAGAGTACCGCAGTGCTCCGTGAGCCGCTACATTTCGCACTTCGTTCAACTCTCATACATACGATGCAAGTCTCTCTCTGCGGGACAGTTCTGGTCGCAGGGCGATTCAATGCCGTAAAGATGATGTAAGATGTCGGACTTGCAGCTGCAGGATCCAGACAGCCGTTGCGAAAAGCAATGCGGCCTTGCAGAGATCTCTAGAGTGCCTCCAAAATGTATAGGTATATGTATGTGTATGTTTATGTGTATTTGTAGATGTATATGTATATGGGTACGAGTTGGGTACGTTTGCTTTCATCGTTTTCGGAAGGTATGCTCGAAACTTCATCACTCTGCGGGTGGATCCCTGGACATTGCTAGAACCAACAAGCGTCCGCCATCACAAACTCTATAGCTTCTGTAGTGGTGGGTTGCAATTACTATTGTCACTTGATTATGCACTACTTCACGCCCGTATATGATATGTACAGAGTTCCACCAGGATTCCTAGCCACAACATGTGCTAACCGGAAGCAAATGTAAACCAAGGCAGCGCGCTAGCAGCCATCTCCATCGTCGAATTGAATCTCCGCGCGTTGGTAGAATGGGAAAACCGAAGGAAGGATCCGGAACCCCACAACTTCCACAGACCTTCAGAAGCTTCCAGAATCATGGTCGTTCGTTTTTTCCCACAGGATGCGAAAGAGGAGGAGAAGGAGGTGCCAAAAAACGACATGTGCATAGTCTCCGAGTCTCCTCACTTCTCGTGCATTTGTGCATGCGCGCCTTGTAAAGTTTTTTTGGCCAAAGGTGGCTGCAGACGGGTCGCGCCCACGGATCGGATTCACATCTTGGCTGTGTGCGACCTATGCAGCAGGTCGGAGAAGATGCGAGCTGCGTTGCAGGTTGGATTGTTTTGCTCGAGACTGGTGGGTCACATGACCAAGACCCTTTGTGCAGGCCTTGAAGCAGCGCCGTGCCGACCTGGTGCCGAGAGCAGCTTATTTCAAGCTTGCCAGGGCCATTGTTATGAGCTGCGCAGGATGCAGCCCATCAAGAACTCGACGCTTCAAAGTCTCAGATAGAGGAACTCCGCCAGCAGCCACGGTCCAAAACGATGTTGGCTTACCTGACACGCCATGGATGCTTGCCCTGGGCCGAGGCTAAAATCTGCAAGAGCCGATCTAGATTCCGAGCGTGAAGCAAGGGTGCTTTGCTTGGCTGGAACACGCAGTATGCACTAGCCTAAAAACATGTGCGGCATATGTGCAGACAGGCTTCCGCGACTCAGCAGATGGAGTGCATGGCCGAGCGTAACTTTGCTCTGACTTGAACTGGTGAACCAGATAACTTGCCTGGTTAGTTTGCCTCGTGCAAGGTCTGCGCTGCAGAGGCTGACAGCGGAGCTTCAAGCCACAGAATTGGCAAAGGCCGCAGCCGAGTAGCACATAGCTGATGTTTGCAGATCCATTTGTGAACTGGTCATCTTCAGGCATCGCTGGCCTCGGAAACAGCAATCCTCAGGTCGGCCTGCCATATGTTGGAGATTGTTGGAGCAGAAAAGATAAGCAAACAAGGACGCAAGAAACGGAGCGATTGTCTGAAATCCAGCAGTTGCAGAAGGCCAGGTGTGTGCTCGCTTCAGCATCTTTGCCTTGTCCCTTAAAGATGCCGCTAATCTGCCCTCTAGCGCGAGACCCGCCTCGGAGCCGTTTCCGAATTTCATTATGTGGCTCGCAGCCAACAGCCTTTCTCGGGGTGGAACAGTCGGAACCGACCGCTCGGCTGCTCAGACCTGGAGAGGGCTCATCACTAGATGTCGGGATCTTTTAGGGGTCATTCGGTATAATTGGAGAGATCAGAAGGAGGGCGAGCGCCCACTTCCAGGCACACGGGGATGTTCGATTCCTGCGGGCATCATCCGATAAAAGATCGGAATGATTGGTTAGAAGTGGGCATTGTGAGATGGCCCACTCGCCATGTAAGACTGGGTTCCGGCGGTGATCATCCATCAAACTACGTTGCCGGACCAGACATGGGCACCATGAGAGGGCTCAGACGGGCACTGTGGTAGGGCCCAGCGGATTCCTTCGGGGATCATCCGCGCAGGTCGGTTGCGAGTGCATCTCAGACTCATGTGGTGGTTGATCTAAATCTCCTTCAGTCGGAAGTTATGTGGAGGGCCAGCTGCATAACCAGGTCACGCGCTCACCAGGACCTTGGTGGTTCTGTGGCCCTCGAATGTGCTTATTCCTAGGGGAGGGAACCCCTACAAGTACTACTTACTACTTCTTTGAATGAGCTGGTGATTTATACTCTTGATGAAAGTTTTTAACGCATCTTCGCAACAAAAACCCGAAACGACTGTAACAGGACAAACGAGCTTGTGCAGCAAGAAGCATAATACCATAAATGCCAGCATGTTTGACATGTTCGCAACAGTCCCAAATGCTCGTGACGAGCCCGTCTTGTTCCAGACACATCCAGCATCCTCCTGAACTATGTTGTGCACAGAGGCAAGCATCAAATACCAGTGCTTTGGACATGTTCTGGCAAGACAGGATCGCTAATGACAGAGCGCCTTGTTCCAGAAGCGTCAAACATACTTTTGAATTATGTTGTGCCAGAGGCCAGAACACTGCAAATAGAGGCATGGGCGCTTGTGACAGCGGGCCTGTTTCCAGAACGTCAACCACCTTTCCCATCATGCAGTGCGAAGAGGCCAGAATGCTGTAAATAGCAGTGTTACATGTATGTTCACAAAAGGCATGAACGCTTGTGACCGGGGGGTTTTGTTTCATAAACGTCAAACATCCTGTAGCATCATGTTGTGCAAAAGGGCAAGATCGCTGCAAATGCCAGTCCCCCAAAGAACATCTGCCGTGGGACCCCCGAAACAACCCGAAAGTAGCAGGTTAACACCAGGATACACCAGGGTCCTGGAAAGTCATTTATGTAGCCGACTGGCAGTCGTACTGCTATTACAACAACGACGACTACTACTAAGCTGACAGAAACCTAGCAAAGAAACGAAGGAAAGTGGGAGAAGAAATTAGCAGCGGGGGAGGCAGGAGCGGGGGAGGGAAGGTCACGTGTCGCCGTCCTGGACATACCACTGCAAAATCGTCAATCTGACAGACCTTCCGACATATCCCTCCCCTCCCCTATCTCAAAAAATTGCTTCATGTAGTCGAAACTTAAAACCCAATCGATAGTCGAGGGGGGTCCTGGGAGCGGGATAAGGGGGGTCGATGAAATCACGTTCCATGGAAGCCAGTCGAGACGCCCCCAGGACGCCCAGGCCTCCGGCCTTGGCGGATGCGTCTTCTTTTTATCTTTACATGTAGTTGCACTGCTGCAAGGCTTGTGCTGAGTCGAAAGTTGTTCAATCTGAACTGGACCACGTTCGCAGCTGCCCTGGATTAAGCTGAAGAAGCTAAAATTGCAATGTTGACATTGGCTGCAAGTGTTGGCTGATGTTGGTTGGGTTCGCAGCAATTCGCAAGCAAGGTTCCCAGTTAGAGTGCGCCCGCTGCCCAGCCAGGGTCGAATGTTGAGTATCCATACTTCTGCCTTCTGCTGCGTGTATGCAGCCTACTGCACAGGGGCCGAAGATTTTACCTACATGCAGGCACTGCAAGAAAAGTCGGCAGCTGTCAAAGATGCAGAAGCCCTGCAAGTGTGCGGGCCACGGCGTACTTCCCCGGTCACGCAAAGCCTGAGGGGATGTGGACTTGGAGTGGAGTCGTGCTGCGTCCGATTCCGTCGTGGGCCTTCGAGCACAGTGACATGACAGGCGAACATCTACTCTGGGAAGGGAGTTGGAGGCGAGCTGATGCGTGCGATGGCTTTCCAAAAAACGATGCGCAAACTAGAAGCGATATCCAGGAGTGATTTACTCGCCTGCCAGGTTCTGAAGAAGAGCCACAGCAGTTTGACGAGCGAAATCACACAGTGCGAAGCACAGCCGAGAACAAGTGCGATGCCATGCGATTATCGATAATCTGCTGGCAAAGGCTAAAGACTGCGCTGGGAGATGCGAAAGCCAAGGACCGCAGCTGGATGCAGCTGGTTTGTGGGTGTTGATTACTACTGTGTGACTGAGTGTTCCATGGCATCGTGAAGGCCTCTGATGCAGACGTGGAGATCCGTTCTCTGCTTAAGACGGCCTTTACTTGGATTTTGCATGTTTTCGCGGTTGACGTGGCTGTCTTCATGCCGTAGCTCCAACCAAGGTGGGCTGCGCAAGGATGTGGAAGACGCTCGAAGAGCGCAGGTCAATCTGTCATTGCTGTCGCTCTTGGGCCAGCGTGTCTTTTACGAGTGCAGTTCGAACTTGTGCAGGCGCATGCAGAAGAGATAGCTGCGGCCTCTGGCTTTGACAGGCTTGTGAGACACTGGAGGATCAGCCCGCAGAACAAGCCGTAGTAGAGGTGATTGAACCCTTCACAATCTTGTAAAGTGCAGGTTCGGGGGACTGACACATGAAGGCCAGGGCAGATCTGCCTACTCAAGACTCCTAACGGGCGACGCCGCAACCAGACATGACAACATGTCGGCAGCCAAACTAGAAATGTGACGACCAACGCATGTGAAGTAGTCGACATTGGATGGCAGAAGGACGGAGGAGCTTCTTGCTAACGAGGTCAGACGGGGACCATCCGCAGCAGAGGCTTGGTCAGATGGGCTGTCATGAAGGGGACGCCACCACTGCCGGAGGCTCGAAGAGCGGGCTTTGCGGTGGACTCCGCCCGGGCTGAAGTCGAAGCATGCTCGGCAGATTAATCTTCCTGCCAGTTTCTGTCTGGACAGTGTTGCAGCAAACTTTCGCATCTTGCCAATCTTCGTCGGGGCAAGATTGCCCCCGAAAGCTTATCATCAGCACATACCATGCTCATGTGCGGATCCGATTCAATCTGCTCGCCAGGCCGCATGGTCGTTGGTGGGGCCCGGCCTAGACAGGTGACTCATGTGCAGGTTCGGTTTGAAAATGATTCAGCCATCCGCCCCCACTTTGAGGTTACAACAAGCACTGTTTGCTGCCGGTTTGCTCCAGGCGAGCTCCGGGCGCACCTTCAAGCATACTTTTAGCGTTGTGTCAAGCCGTCGAGCCAAAGGCCGCAAGTGCTTTTCTGCAGAAAAACGGGCACCCGACTGTCGACTGCCGATAGAAGAGTTCAAGTCATGAACAAGCCGGACCTTTCTGGACATATAATGTGCCAGCAACAAGGGGATGTTTTCCGCGGACTCGTAGCATGGATCGGGCACCTGAGCATATCGAGTGTGAAGCGTGAGTGCATGGAGTAAGTAACTCTGCGCATGAGGAACCAGCAACAATAATTAGCCAAACTTTCGAAGTCCTGTTGCAGTCCGTTGCGATTTTTCAGGCTTGCAGGCCGGCAGACAAATGCGGTGCAGGTGATCCCACAGCACGACAGGCAAGGAGAATCAGGAACAGGCGTTGGGATGACGCAAAGCAGCACGCTGCTGGCAGGATGCCTCTGCTGCGAAGAAGCCCAAGCGCGAGCGTGAAGAGAAAGGCACGTGGAAACACGTGAATGAACGTGTGTTGACGTTTCGCTTAGGTGCCATGACAATCCTTAAAGATGCAAGTTCTTAGGTGAGCGAGGAGATCGAGGAGGCAAAAAAGAGAAGAAGGACGATACCGTCAAAAAGAGCAAAAAGGACAAAAAGGCGGGTCAGAGTAGAATCGGATGGGCACGAGCGTCTACACTGTGGGTTGTGTTGCACATGTCAGCCAGCAAAGATGCCGGATTCAGGGCAAGAAAGACAGAAGGAAGGAAGGGGAGGCTGGATCTCTTCGGACACGCTATGCCAGAACTGCATGCTTTCGGGGAACAACTGCGCAGTTCACGGTCAGGAAGGCAGAGATGTGGAGGATCCTCGTGCAAGGTGCCCAAGATTCCCACATCAGTATGTTTTACTCGAAGGGTCAGTGGGGAACGAGCCTTGGTTTGCCCGAGGCCTCACGCCGTGCCCCGGAAGCGTGTTGAGCTCAGGGGGCTCAAAGCTTGTGAGGATCAGCTGTCGAGGTGTTGATGATCTCCAGGAGGTCTTATCTTATTGTTTGGAATGTAGATGCGTGATCGTGCTTTGGATGTCCCTTTGACCGCACCGAGCTGAGGTCGGGTAGCTCCTCTTCCGACGTTGAGGTTGGGCAACTTGCGGGTACTGCCTGTTCCCCAGAAACGTACGGGAGCCAGGAACTTTTGCCTTAGCGTTTCCAGCTAGGCTGGTCCATCCATCTTGAGATCCGCCGGCCCAAGACCAAAAGGCACAGCCCAAGCACACGTTTGATTTGCAGATGCGATGGATATCGCATCCTTAAGGCTTCGTGAAGTACAGAAGGCCACTCTTTCCCTGCATGTCGCCTAGCCTCGGAGGAAGCAGTCGCAACGTCACCTTCAGCATCGCGAACCAGGCAGTGAGTAGCACATATTCGAAATCCGTGCGGCGGAAGTGAACTCCATATCGCCAGCAGCACAGGCTGCAATGGCCACCAAGTGCATCTCCAAAATCGGTGCGGCAGTGACACCGTCCTGAGTCCTGTGGCAGGTTGATGTTCTTTCCTACCGCGCTTGCGGCGAACACCTCTGGTTTCCCAACCCTCAATCGAACGTTTTGCCGGGGACTTGGCAATTCATTCAGGCATGGGACGGGGAGAGGCGTGAAGAGGATGCAACACGTGGCTCCACAACAGCCGAAGCAAGAGATACCTGACATTACTCAGCGGATAAAACATGATCTGAAATGCGGGGGTTCTGTTCGATTCGTACCAGTCAGTTCCCTTGGTGTACTCAGTGCACTCGCCGCCTGGTGCACACATTCACTGACATCCAGGTTTCAATACCATGCTTAACTGATCTTGGCAAGTGTTGATCCAGGTGTGAACGCTGCAAGAGGAGGGTGCCACAGAGGCACTGCATGGAGTATCAGGGGACAGGCTTGGGTAGCCCGGCGAATGCAGCCGTGAATGTGGAAACGTCAGGAAGATCGCTCCAACCTGCTCGGAAAAGGTGTCAAAAGCAGTCACGAAGGTTGCCCTTGATGCTTCGAGGCTCGGACAGCTGAGAGGCGGAAACGGAAAGTCGTCCTTCATGTGCGACGAGTTCTTTTGCCACGCCCTGAACACTCGTGACTGCTCCTGACGCGGAAGGAACCGTCTGTGTCTCAGGTGACGATTGCTCAGCGAAGTTGACACTCTCCACCTGAGCAAGCTGTCGTAAACAAGACTGAGTGTGACAGCTAAGCAAGCCGCAAGCTGGTGTCTGTGAACTTTAGCAATGCCGTTGATGGACAGGCAGACCTTGTGCAGGATGGAGCACGCGCCGGCCGATCCTCGAAGCAACTGCACATTGACATTAACTCATTTACTATGGTGCCCAGTGAAACAACACAGCGGCAAAGGAGCCAAGATTTAGTTGTAGATATGCGGGAGAGTCAGCATGGATTTTTAGGAAGCCATACCACAAACACAAAGAAGCAAACAACAGTAAAGAACCATAGACCCAAGTTGGAACACGGGACGTGCCCGATTAGAAGTCAAGGGCGTAATGCCCTAGAGAGCCGCTGCTGGCAGGCTCGCTTTCATAAACTCACTGAGCGGCTCCCATTCTGCCACGCATCAAAAAGGCGTTGGCCATATGATTTGCGAGCTGTTCCGGTATGACGCGTTCGTTCGGGCCATAGTCTCCCGCGCTTCCGGGGCGCTTGACACAGCGTGTCGGACAACTGCTGCTTGCTTAAGCCCAGGATCTACGTGATTTCGCCCAACGGACAGCAACAGTGCGCTGGTGAATACAAGCAGTCGCAAGATTCGGCAAACGGTTGCCCTGTGCGCCAGGAGTTCGGGGGAGGTATTAAGCAAACACAGCTTGGAAATACTTTGAGAGGTATGGGAGCAAAAAGGAGGTGGCTTTTGGATGTATACAGGTTCGACAGCTCCCTGATGATGCAGTGGCGTATATTCTATCTTTGCTTGTGTGCTCATAGGGTCATGCCTGCAGGTGCAAATGGTATGTGGATTATCGGGGGGCAAGATGCCAAAGATAAAAACTTCAAGTGCTCGCACGGCTTCATCTTCTGCCGAACTCAAAACGCTGGAGTTCGGGCTCTCAGATTCCGCAAGGATTTGGTGCCTGTCTGGCAATCGTCAGCCTTATCGACTGATGTTTCCTGAGGTCTCGCCAGAAAAGATCACCGGAGTCCCTGACTAAATTCGTCTGCAAGGTGTCTTGGCAATATCTGGATTTGGTGCGATGGTCTGGGTGTGATAAGGTGTGGGAAAGGCTGAGTGGCGAGTATTTCGTCGAGGATCGCAACATTGTCGTCCGACTCTCGGGTCTCTCGGGTGCAAGGGGTCAAAAGATCACCGGGATGACTGTGAGTGGGAGGTCACGAATGTTCTGCACAGACCTTCGCCGCTCCGGGTTGCCAGCCCGAACGGACAGCAAAGATGTGCTGGTGAGTACGCCGCAAGCTGAGTAGACATGTGTGATCCAACTGGCACACCAGTCGCTGCGTGCCGAGGCACTGATGCCAGATTGCACTGCAAATGGGCTACCGGTTTGGGAGCATAAGACTGGAAGGCAAGGCTTGTTCCCCAAACAAGGCATCCAGTTCTTCGGCCTGCAATTCTTGTGCGAAGGTGCTACTTGTACTGTGGGACGAACGGCTGGCCTTCATGTTTGCTGGTGAAGGTTTGTTTCCTGGCGCTGGCGCTTCCCGCATGCGTGTGTGCGGCCAGGATCTTGGATCTTGGGTGGCTCGGATGCCAAGGAGAAAGGATTCAAGTGCGCAAAAGGCTTGTGGGGGCATATCCACCCAGACACACACGCACACACACACACACACACATGCACACATGCACACATGCGCACACGCACACGATGCAATTCCAATTTGCACGGTTGAGCTGCTAGCTTGCAGAGCCCTTAGCAGCGAAAAGCGGGACAACTTGCAGGTGTTGTCTATTCAAAGCGGGCCGGTGGAGGCTTGATGCCGGACAAGGCCGTTTCATACTGCGGCAATACTGCTAACATGTTCTGCACGGGCTCTCTTGCCGATGTTGTGACAGGTCGGTGGCGGTTGGCTGCGCCTCCATGGGGACAAATTCCAGGAGGACTCTGTTCCTCTCTCAGCATGTGTTTGACGGAAGCAGAGTTTCAATCGTGGTCCAACTGACACGTGTCGACGATACGTCTGAGGCCATCACTGTGACCGTGAAGCCTTCACGGCTGTATGTGCAGACGCCCCATGGCCAGCACAGGCTCGATGGGGAGTTTGCCTGCGCCTTGAGGAACTAAGTCGTCAACTCGATTGTCAGGTGTTCCGGCGAGTATGTGCCCGCAGAAGATCGCCTGGCAAACGGCTATCCGCTTTGGGAGCACGCCGGTGGAAAGTGTTGGCTGTATTCAGGCCGGGTTGAGAGGGTTTCGCCTTTAGCGGGCAGTTAATGCGGTGGCAGCAGGCAGCAACGGAATGTGGATAATCGGTGGCACTGATGCTGCAGCCAAAAATTTCCAGTGCACACGCGGTGCCAGACGCTCAGCCGTGAAGCCCCCATCAGTCTGCACAAATGGCCGTCGGACTATGTGCTGAGGTGATTTACTGTCAAACTGTGCACAACGGGCAGCCCGAACCTTTGTCAAATGCAACTTCTGCGCACAACAAGAGCTGTACATGTCGGACAGTGGCAGGATGCCAGACAAGATGGTCGGCAATTGGCTACGGCTTGATGGGGACAAGTTTCGTGAGGCAAACCGTGAGGTAGATGTCCTGATACCGCCAAGTTGCCGGCAGGCAGCAAATACATGTAGAGACCGGCTTTGTTTGCTTTCTCCCGCGGGAGAGGGGTGTCGCGAGACAAGTAGGATGTGTTGCCGCTGATCCATCAGGATGCTGCCATTCTGGTGGGAACCAAACCTCCCAGCCTCCACATCCTCTGTCCGAATGGACAGCCCAAGCCCGCCTCTGCAGGATTATGCACTGTGCTTTCGATGAAGCCTCAACCATCCGAATGACAGGTGCGGCGGAGAGTATGTGCTCGTTGGTGATCGCTGGCATGGCCAGCCCACATGGAAGCAAAGGCGGACCGATTTACGGACCGCGGGTTCAGCGAGTACGAAGAGTTCAAGAATTTCAGCAGACCTTAGTCGAGGCAGGGGTGCATGCGACTCCGAAGGATTTGCTCTGGCGCCGACGGCCACTGGATGGTGGCAGCGGCCGTGCGCAACAAGGACTTCTGGCCGCTGACTGATTCCCGCTAAGGAAACCCTCCTAAGTGTGTTGAGTGCAGTGCTTACTCCGGCTCCATGCAGGAGAACGGAGACTCTGAGAAGCCCTTGCTGCGATGCTGGGGCCTTCGGGCCTTGCCGCCATGCCCATGTGCTATGCTGCTATGCCATGCGCACATGTCGAAGCCCTCGTGCTGTCTCTCAGGTGACCAGCCCCACCTCGGGGAGACTCCCGACAAGGAAGCGGCCCCAGGAGATCGACTGCTGATGAAACGTGAGGTTTGCAGGAGCTAGAATCTTGAACTTCCCGTTTCACATCTTTTGGCTCCAGGTCGTCTTGCAGGATAATTGACAGCCGAAGTCTTTCGTGCCTTCATGAGACGATGGCGGCAGCCGGCCAGGATGCAAGCAGTTCAGAAGTTGCTCAGATCGTCATGGTGCCACCATGCCGCCTCATCGTGCGAGCTACAGCAGGGGCGAGAGTGATTGGCAAGCAGGGTGCCAGCATCAAAGCAATCCGCGCAGCGACAGGAATCAATTCCGTGCGAGTTCTACAAGATGAGCTGCCCGAAGCATTGAAGCGCCGAGAGGAGGCTATAGTTATAATATCCTGCGGGGAGGAAGCGATGCTAAGGCAAGCAGTAGCTATGGTTCTCGACAAAGTGTTCGATCGTTCTGGGCTCCCTGACTCCGCCGATCGCGAGCGTGAGCGCCCACATGTTCTTGACATGATCGTGCCGGAGCGTGCGGGAGGTGGCATTGTGGGGCAGGGAGGCGAGCGCATCAGAGCCATTATTGAGGAGCTAGGTTGCGAAGTCCAGGTTTCTCGTGAACCTTTGGCTGGTATTGCTTCTCAGAAGAGGGTGAAATTGCTGGCACGTGATCGAGTTCCGATAGAAGCCGCGCTGTGGCGTTTACAATCCACGCTCAAGGAGCTCGTGGTCTCGGAGGTGCTGAGATCAGAGCACTTCGAGCTGCGGGAGGCACTGATGAGTGAGGCAGAAGCTGCAAGGAGCGCTGAAAAGGAGAGGTTTGCCAGTGAAGGCAAAGGAGAAGTACCGCTTCGGATACTGTTGGCTCAAGGCGAGGCAGCAACTGTGGTTGGAAAGCTCGGCGCGAATGTTGCGAGATTGAGAGACCTGGCCCTTGTTTCCATAGACGATGCGGAGTCTCCTCCATTTCACCCGAGCGAGAGGATTTGCAGTGCGGCTCGGGCAACTTTGGCTCAACGTTTGAGGGTTTTGAGGTTGGTGCTGGGTGACTTGGCCACACGAAGTGCTGCCATCGCGCGAGAGGAGGAAGCCGCAAGGCCCCAGGAAGCTCCCGAAGGCATGCGTCAGGTTAGTGTGTCTTTGCTCTTTCCTTGCGACCGTTGGGAGGAATTGGAGCCGGTCCTGCAAAAGGAGCGCAGTCTGTTTCCAGATGGTCTTGAGCTTGAGGTGCAGGACTCCGAGCACCAGTCAGCTCGATTGAGAGCGGTAACACTCAGGGGCCCAGAAGAGGCCGTTGCTCTGTCTGGCTGGAGGCTTCACAGGTCTTTAGAACCATGGGAAGTATCTGAACCTCCGCCAAGGGTGGCACCTGCCGATGAGGACGATGACGAGCGCACTGAGCGGGGCAAAGGCAAGTCGAAGGGCAAAAGCCAAGGGAGAGGTACCCAGTCACAGGTTGCCGGTGCTTCGATTGAGCCACGAAGAGATCCCGAAAGGTCGAACCAACCAAGAGTCGCCCCAGCCCAGATCCTAGCAAAGTCTGGAGGCAGCAGTGTAGTTGATGTCGCCACCAGCCCAGCCCCTGCCACCAACGGGGCGGTTGCAAGCATGGCCCACTCAAAAGGGGCAACTATGATGGTGGCAGTATCGGACTACCGTTTGGCAAGCTACCTGGCCAGTGACATAAGCGGCATAGCCAGCAGAGCTAGCGTGAAGCTTCATGCGAAACCACCAGAAGGGATTGCTCCGGCGATTCTCGAGATATACGGATCACTCGACTCCGTAGCGCGCGCGTGCTACTTCGTGCAGCTTCAAATGTGGCTGCGCTCAATGCTTTGCAGCGGTATGTAGGCGGTGCAGTCTTTGACATGCTTCACCCGGCAGTTGCATCGCATGTGCTGTCGAGCATTTGAGGGAGGTTTCACAGGCCGATCATCCGAACATTGGTGAAAAATGAAGGGCACCTGTTGTCAGGAAGAGGTCGTTGCCTTGTCTGAATCTCTTGTGTCATCTTTCGATTCCGATCACATTCACCTCCGTAGCTGCAACGGCGCAACATGGAACTTGTTGCAAGTACAGCAGGACTGCATCTCAGGTGCTCTCTTCTTGGAGTCGTCTAGAAGGTGAGGACATGGAGAAGGCTGCGCCGAACCTTGCAGTTGGCACTCCTCTCCGACTGTTTGTTGCTGGCAACTAATTCCTCTTGCCACGGGGTCTATGCACGGAAGTCCTTTTCCAGGATGACCAGATCAAAGTGCCGGACTCGGACGGAAATGGGAACTGAGTAGACGGACCACGTGCTCGGATCAGGTATCATCAACTTCTTCGCTTGGGAAGCCTGTTAAGTTGCATGTGTCCACACCCAGTGGGCAGCAGAGCTGCGGAGGACTGGGCCTCAAGCTTCTGCAAAGTGTTCACACTTTTTCGGCCACTCGCCAAGGTGAGTACCTGCTGGTTGCTGGCGAATCTGCTAACGGCAGCCCTCTGTGGAAGCAGATGGGCGGCAAATACTGGCTCTATTCAGGAGATGCGCACGAAGTTCCACAAGTCCAGCTGAAGATCCAAGATAAGAGCATGCAAGAGCAGATAATTAGACTGAGTTCGTCCCGATCAGCTGCGCAGGAACCAATGGCTTGTGGATTATTGGAGGAAGCGGAGCCAAAAGGAAAAACTTCGACTGCTCGCGTGGAGTAATCTACTCGTCCCGACCTTTGGCTCCTGCAAAAATGTCTGCAAAACCGGAGAGAGTGAGAGTGTCAAGGCAGACCCCGCATGGAGGCCAATTGCCACACCAGGTCGCTGCCTGTTTTGTGTTTGGAATGTTACTGAGATCTAGGGATGTCGAGGGTGCTGCAGGTTGGTGGAATTTGGCTGCGCCTGCAAGGGCAGGAGTTGCGGGCCCAAACTGACGTAAACATGAGAGGGAGGTACGGTATGAGAAGCTGTGCCCGACAGAGGTTTGTGGAGGACAGCAAGATCAGCATTGTTCAGTGAGCTGTTCGCTTTTCGCTCCTCAAACACGAAGAGGTAATTGTCCACCACCGCAGACACTGTAGTGCAGCGTCTGCATGCACGGCTGCCCGCGGGGTTCCGGTCGTACCGGTTGTTCTTTTTATCATCGCATTGGGTGCCCTGCTGAGAAGTAGGGCCCGTGCTGTCACACCTAGTGACCTAGAGCACTGCTCGTGCGCCAAGCGGAGATGAAAGGTAAAGCGCATGCACGTACTTGCGACATGCCGTGCCAGTGCATGCGCGCATGGGCGTGTCTTCCACGCAGACATCGAACCTGCAGCACTCCGGACATCGCTACGAGGAGGATACGTGTTCTTCCAAGAGCCGGGATATTTCCGCAGCCGTTGCTGCAGAGTTGCGCCTGCCAATTGAACTCGCAGAGCCCTGCTGTGTCCCGACAGATTAGACCAGCCAGCGGGATTCACACCTTTGGCTCCTGTATTTGCAGAACACGGAACAGAAGGCTGAATGATACCGGACTAGGCGAGAGCGCAGCGTCGCAACACGTCCCCCGTTTTCCTGCAACAACATCCTCTGAGAAGAGCAAGTTGGCAGCGGCGTAGTATCCAGCGCTGCCGTGGATGTGAGCGAGCTACTCGTGAAGCTCCAGGCCAGATCTTTAACTTTTCGCATCCTCAATGCTTATGATCCGCTTGGCTACATTGGGCGAGACCATATCATGCAATATGGAGCTATATGTCCTCGACAGCAAGCAAGGCTTGGTAGCGGCATGTCGCAAATTCGTGCGGAGCTTATTCTGTGTAAGCGAGCCTTTCGGTGAAAGACGGAAGACTCAAGATTTTTCAAGATTTCGAGGTCGGGCTGAAGAGGAGGCTGATATTCATCCTTGTGGGTCGAGCTGCCGGCAAACCTAGTCTTTGCAGGACTTTTCCTGCATCATCGAGATAGCCAGACAGGTTGTCGAGGAGTGGCACTTTGCACATTTTGCACTCCGCTTCCGTAAACAAGTTGTGCGGTGCTCATGCAGGAGCCCGATGCACTGCTGTTCGACGATCACTGCACCACAGAGGTCAAGCAGAATGGGCTGCAGCAATCTGTGGAGTCAGCCGAAAAAAGTCCTCAGGAGTTGGAAGCTTTCTGGCTGCCTGACCCCGCGATGCGTGCCGAGACCTTCGTATTGGAGGCGCGGCTGCCACGGGGCGCAGCACGTGTTTCGCGGCCGAGCAATCAGTATATTGCAGGCGAGTGGCTTTGCAGGCATCATTGGGGCATATGCCGCGGGCTAATTCGACCCGTGGAGAGCAGAACAGGCAGCTGCGACTGAGGTTTTGTACCCGGCAGCACATGGACGTGGTGCGCACATGGCGCATGGCAGCTATATGGTGTGCCCAGACAGTTGCAGGCCGCAGGTGTCCCGCCACACGGCAAGCCACATGTCTGAGGTTGCGAAGCACGCAAGAGGCAGAGGCTTTGGAAGGGCATTGTGCTTGACGCCAAGCATCTTAGCTCAGCTTCTGTTGGGATCAAATTCGGACCACTGTTGCTGCACGTGTCGCGGGCATGAGGCTGTGATTCACATGCAAGCATCGCGGTCACTACTACAGCCGAGCAGAGCAAGGAACCAAAGTGATCGGAGCAGAGACTTCAAGAAGACCATTCGCAAATGTTGAAATTTAGTTTATCAAGCATCCCTTCACATCGTGCTTCCGTGCCATGGGGTTCATGTCTCCAAACCGCTGCCCCTGGACTTTGCAGAAGCTTGTGGGCTGCTCAAAACTTCTGGACTGCTGATGCAGTTGCGGATTCATGTGCGAGTGCGGGTGCAAATTACCGAGAAGCCTGTCATGTCATGATTCATGATTGAATTGAAATCCAACGTCGATTCCAAACAGCAAAAGAACACCTAGCGGTCGAATCCCATAACGAGCGCCCTGGCCCAAGGCTCCCAAGAACTCCCAGCAGCTCCAAAATGCCCAACACACGTTGGTGAGAGCACGATTCGCACCCAACAAGCGCCGCTCCGTGGAGTCCAACCCTCATAGGTGTGCCGGACTCCTGACTCCTCGAATGTTGCGGAAGCATGGCTTTTGGAGGTGGAAAGCCAATTCCTCGCAGCCAAAATCTGCTGCACGCGAAACTATGCCCCGGGCATGGCATGCCCGCACCAGCCTTGAGTTCCCATGTCAATTACGCAGCTTCTGAGTTCTGAATGTGCTTACCAAGTGCTTTTCGAGCGGTTTAGCCGACTGAAGGAGATGCAATGAGAATATTGCAACAAAGGGCGTTTCGAAGTGTACTCTACTCCAGTTTGTCTGGCGCAAACTTGCTCGGTCTTCTTCCGCATTCATTCAACCAGTGTCTTGAACTGGTTCTGGGCTGAGGTTTTGTCGTGCCTGTGGTTATTGCCACTAGATGCAGCCGGCGACACTGTGAAGAAAGTCAGATCCTTACAGTGTTGCTGGGGTCCATTGTCAGTCGAAGAGACCATGCTTCTAACATTGTTTCAGACACATGGGGTTGCCTTCGCATGAAGAAAACTCTTCGACAAATATTAAGTTTGCAGGTTGTCAGCACTCCATGGTGGCCGCCTGGAACAGAAAAAACTGCAGCCGCTTGGCTGTACTTGCAGTTGCTAAGCACTCCTGCATACACCTGTTTGTTAAAGGCCATTTCGCTCATTGCTAAAAGTTGCGCTGCGTCAGCCCAGGAAAGTGTTGGGATAATTTCACATGGCCTCGTTTTCATGACTGCCATGATGGAGCTGAATGAAACGTGGCCTGGCACAGGCTAGCACATCTGCATTCTTCGCTCCATTACCTCGGCACCAGGCTGCAAAAAACTGCCGTGCAAGAGATTCTCGACGTGCACGATATTGCAGTCGCAGCGGGTGCCGATCTGTCCGACCTTGTGACTCAGCTTGCAAATTATGGTTCATGACAGGAGTCTGGATTCTGAAGCTAGTTGTGTGAGGTGGACTGCTACGTGAATGTTCCTTCCGGGAGAGGTCAAGTGGTAAGGGAAGCTCTTTTGTCGGCGATGCCCATGAGCGTCCAGCAGCACCCACCTGCATTCACTGCCACTCGGCTTCTGCTGGAAGAATCACGCGATTGTCTGGGCACGTTGTGTTTGATTGATGTTGAGTTCACTGCAAACATGCAATGAGGTCGTTGAGATGCCAGGTGAATACAAGGACTTGACTGGCAAATGCAAGCTTCAGTCACCGCTTGCAGAGCCTGAAAGCCTGTGACAGTTCGTGCCCAACTCCATCATGTGCACTGCTGCCTTGGCGACTTCAGAGCGACGGACCTGGAAGCCTCCCGCCATGTTTCGAACAAGAGAGTCCAACAGCTTTGCTGTTCAAAGCGTGACAGCGACAACATGCAGAACCTGGTTTCGACATACTACTTTAGGTGGTCCAACCCGACCTATCATGTTTTGGCCTTTGGCGTGTAATAAGAGTTTAACCATGAGTATCTTGCTTCTCGTAGAGAGAGGCAGACAAGGGCCAATATGTAGTTCGGGGAGAGGGTAAATTGAAAGATTCACATGTAATCACATTCTGGCTTCCGGGCGCGGCAGGGGTGGCCGTAAGTTGACACATTCACTACATATCAAAACAGCAGATTTTTGTAATTCGTCATAGAACTCATCAGCGGCTTCGCCCTCCAGCTACTTGTGCCATGTGTCTGATGTTTGGATGCGCACCTATCACATTAATCAGAATGATGCAGGTTCTGCATTCGCACATTTCCTCCTGATACTCTAGCCGTTCTAGCCTGCCATTGCGTGCCTTTGTAAAGCAAGACCCTTGGGGATGGATGGCACGGCAGAGAGAGTGACACAGTGACGGACTACTTCATACACTACCAGGGTAGTGCTATTACTACGACCACGGCTACCACTACCACGACCACCACCACCACCACTCCAACCGCCACCACCACCAGCACCGCCACCGTCACCATCACGTCGAGTCTCGTCCTACTACTACTATGTCTACTACCACTACCACCACCATAGCAGCTGCTGCTGCTAAACCCGATAAACCTGCTAAACTCGATAAACCTCCCGCATGCAATGTACCTACCTACCCTACCTACCCTACCTACCCTACCTACCTACCGACCTACCGACCTACCACCTACTACCACGACGACGACTACTACTGCTACCACTACTACTGCTGCTGCTGCTACTACTACTACTACTACTATTACTACCTACCAGTACCAGTATCAATACCCCTGCCCCTACGACTACTACCACCAGCACCACCAGCACCACTTTCAATTTCACTACTATTGGTCACTACTACTATTACGACTACTTTCACTATTCCTCTTCCACGACTTCGACGACGACGACGAATACTACTACTGCCTCTACCACTACTGCTACTGCTGGCATCGCCACTCGTCGTAGTAGTAGTAGTAGTAGTAGTAGTAGTACTGCTACGACGACTACTACAAACGCAACTGCTCGTACTTATGCTGCTACTACTTCTGCTGCACTACTACTGCTAATTGCTGTTGCTACTACTTCTTGCAACTGCTGGTAATGCTACCTCTACTGCGGGTGGTACTGCTGCGGCTACTGCTACCGTGCTGCTACTACCACTACTACCACTACTACTACTACTACTACTACTACTACTACTACTACTACTACTACTACTACTACTACTACTACTACTACTACTACTAGCACCACTACCACCACCACTGCCCCGACGAAGAGGACGGCGACTTCTTCTTCTAATACAACTTTCACTATTACTTGCAGAGCCACCAAGGTCATGAACCACAGGGGCGGCATCGTCATCATCATAACGACGGCAATTGTTGTATTTTTCTCACCTTGATCCTGGGCCCTACAGCCAGCACAATTTTGTGGCAACGGTGGGTCTCGTCACAGGACACCACCATCAGCCACATGACTGTCATGACCGTTCCGGACCGTCAACACCAGCAATATCTCTGCCATCCGCTTTGTCTTCATTGTGGCCATAGTCAACCTCACGAACATCACCATCTGGCCAGCTGCCATTGCTACCAGCACATCACGTCGTGATCACCATCATCTTGACTTTAGCTTCGGGATCACAATCAGCAACATCACAATTGTCAAGATCATCAACACCAACCAACACAAACAGCAACAATCACGTTATGACACTCAGTTTCATGCAACGTCACACCTTTGTTGGTGCGTGTGTTAGTGCTACTGTCCTGGCTGCTCGTGTTCGCATGCTTGCCGACATCCGAGCTCGAGTGCGAGTGGTAAAGAATGGTTGCCGACATGAGGACGCTGTTCTTTGTGGTGTAGCACATTTATGTGCGTAGGGACAACCGTCGAATCGACGTGGATGCTGCAGCCGCTGTCTGCTCCACGTCCCCCGACGTTTTTCAGCTTTCCGGTAGATCCCTCCTACTGACGCCATGGCCTACCAGTCCGCCGATGTGGTTGCGGCGCTCGACATGATTCGTCGAGCCGTCGCCTCCGGCGACGACCTCAGCCAGCTCTTCGGCGAGTGGTCCGGACTGGAACGGCGGGCCCTGGTATCGGCGATCAACAGTCCCGCCGCCGCGCCAGGGCCCGTCGTGTATGGCGATTCGTCGAGGGCGACACCGGCGTCTTCCAGTGGAGCAGCAGCAGGGCCGGCGCCGTCGGACGACCCGTGCCCGGAACCCCCCGTCGACAGGCATCACGCGCCTCCTTCGGCGCACGCGGGGGTCTCCGGAGCACCGTCGTCCTCGGCCGACATGCCGGCTGCAGGCAAGCCGTCGGGTGGTGGCTACCCGCAGAAGCCCACCCGTCCGGCGCCGTCGGTGCCGAAAGGCAGCCCGCCGGAGGTCTGGGACCAGGTGGGGTATCTCTGTCGGACCGACGCGGAGTTGGCCTACAAACACAACATCCCGACGGCCGACGCCTACTACCGGCGGTACCAGACGGTACTTCCGGATCGGATCACGCCGTCGACCGTGATCCCTGGGCCGCCGCCGCCGGCCCCGTCGGTGCCGATCGTCGACTACCAGGACCGCATCGCCGAGGAGCTCCGGCGGCAGTTCGAGGAGGAGTCGCGACACCAGCGCACCGGCGGGCCGCAAAGCCATGCCGGCCGCTTCGGCACCGTCGCCGTCGCCGCCAGCACCGTCGGGGTCATTCCGCAGGGCACCTACACCAACGCCGCAAGAGATGTACCCCGACGCGGACCCGATCACCGGCGCCGGCTTCCCCATCCTTCCACGGCGGCCGGGGCAGAACGCCTCCCCCGCCGAGCTCGAGCGCCACCGGCGCGAGTACCGGCGTCTGGCCCACATCCGCCGGATGCTTTGCTCGCAGGAGTGGCGCGACCACGTCGAGCTGATGGGCAAGTCCGGCGTGAGGTCCGACGTGACGCTGCCGGAGACGCTCCGGCCCCTCACCGTCGCCAACCTGGAGCAGTTGGAGGACATCGAGAGGGCCGCCGCCGGCGGCTCCACAGCCATGGTTCCGGCGGCCGCCGCAGCGGCTTACTATGTGCTGCGGGCGCTGCCGCCCGGCGTCCGGGGAGGCCGCATTCCGGAGAAGATCCCCGGCGAGATCTGGTGCGTCGGGTGGTGCGGGCACCCGTGCACCAACGGACGCTGCCGCGGCATTCCCGGCAGATGCCTCCGTCCGGTGCTGATTCGTGCCGGCGGTACCGTCGACCTGGATCGCCACGACCACCATGAGTGCGAGGACTGCCACGAGCAGTCCCGGCACCGGTGATCCGGTCGGCCGGCCCCCGTCGCTATCTCCCCGTCGCCGTCTTCTACAAGGTCGACCTCACCGACGGCTTTGTCGCTGGCGACGTGGGAATTCAAGCCTCAGGGGGTGCGTCGGTGAAGCCTTCGCGGGCCTCTCCCGACGCCTTAATTTAATTCCTTTTCTGCCCGGCGTTGTAATCGCCCAGGGCCCGACTCAGAGCCGATCAGGCGCCACCGGCGCGAGAAAGGAGGGCGGCCGTCGCAGTGCAGTCTCTCTTGCTTGCCCGTCGTTCGTCGTGCACCTGTTTTTCTTTTACCTTTTTCTTTAGGAGGTTCGGTTGGCTCGAGGAGGCACTCGCCGGTTGGAGGTCCCGTCGGGAGGGGGATCCTCCCACCGCCTCGGCTGGCCAGCCAGAGGGGCGACGGTCCCCAGGACCGGCCCCGTCAAATCAGATCGTGCCGGCGGGGCCCGCGTTAGGGCCTTCCGCGACGGCCGTAGTACCGACCGACGGTCCAGTAGTGGTCGCGGCGACGGTTCGCGGACCAATCCCGCCCCCGGCGACGGTCTCCGACCGGCCGGCGGAAAAGCGGAAGGACATCCCGCTCAGGAGGGACACCCGTCGAGCGTGCAAACGCACCGCCTTTGAAGCAGCCCTCCCGGAGAACAGGGAGGCGGCGCTGGCGGAAATCGACGAGAACATCCTGGCGAAGTCGTCCCAGGCACCCTTCCAGTCGAGAGTCCGCACGTGGCAGGAAGCGTGCGAGACTTGGGCCGTCGCTCCCTGGCCCATCTCGGCGGAGGCGGTGCGGAAGGTTGCCGCCACCTTCCGTCGAGGAGGCTATCGCTCCGTCCAGAACTATTTCGACGCCGCCGTGTCATACCAGGAACAGTTTCGCGGCGAGGCCGTCGACCCCCTCATCCGGCGGGCCATGCGACGCTATGCCCGGGCGGTGGTCCGCGGCTTGCCCGGCTCGAAGCTGAAGGCCATCTTCGCCGTCGACCGCCTGGTGGCCTTGGTCTCCAGGGTGGACCCGCCGGGGGCCGAAGCGTGGAGCCCGTGGGTCACGGCACACGCCGTCGACGCCCTCATCCTGGCGGTGAACCAGATGTCGCCGACGGCACCGTCGCCCTCCGGCTTCCCCTGCACAAGACCGCGACCGGCGGCGAGGTCGAGCTGACCCAACGCCAGCTACGGTGCGCTTGCGGGGCGACCGTGGCGCCGTTGTGCCCCTACCACGCGGCGCTCCGCCATGTCTCCCGCCTTCGGCGTGCCGGACGGTGGGTGCGTGGGGCATGCCCTGTTCCCCGACGGGACCGGCGACACCTGGGAGAGGTCAGAGGCCGTACCTCGTGACGAGGAACGAGTTACGACTATGTGTGCTAGCGTACCTATCACTACTCGAAGCTATCGAAGGTAGCTTCGCTAGAAACGAAGTTTCGTTCGCTATCGTCGCTCGCAGGAGAGTTGCCTCTGACATGCGAAGACAGGATAGCAGTGACTTGGAATGGCTACGACGGTGTGTGACCGTGGCCATTCTGGATAAAGTCCCCCATCAGGGGGGGTAATTTTGAAGTAGAGGGGA